CACACAGTTGATCTTCTTTTTTTTTATTTTTTTTTTTTATATATGTACACGTGGAAAGGTATATGCTATGTACAGACACACATGCTTGATACTAGGCAATTACACCAAACCGGTCAGTACGATTCATCCTACTATCCTGGTTCTACTATTACACCCTTGGAAAAGAACCGGGAGAAGAAAAACCAAGGGGAATTGATTACTAATTACAATCTACTTGTTTTTGTTTTTTTATATGGAAAACGGTATCATATTCACGCAACACTAATATGAACACAAAACAAACACTAATCTTAACAACATCACGAACTACAAAATATAACTCATGTACCGAAATCATACTAATAAATACAGAATAGAAGATAAACATGAGTACATGAGTTTGATTATGACATAAGGACATGCATATGTACAACAATTTCCTATGTCACAAAAATATCTACAATGCTACCCTCCACCCCCAACGAAAAGCATGCATTGTCCCCAATGCATAAGAACAGAGATATGAGTTTGAGGGGGCTCCCTGAGGCACACTAAGTGCTATGGGGGTGGGTAACTGGCTGAGTGTTGGAGGGGTCACCCTCGGATGTGGAAGATGGGACCGATGAGAGCTCGGTCTGAGGAGTGACCTCTACTGATGGAGTAGTGCTCTTAGGTTGGTTCAGAGCAGGTGTTGGAGTTGGAGTTGGGACTGGTGCTGGAGCCTGTGAGCTGCTAGACTCGCCCACTGGTGGTGGGGCGGTTGATGGAGCTGTAGGAAGGGCCAAGTCTACTAGAGACTGCTGGATCGCTCTCTGCATATCTGCTTGCTCCACTTCTTCCATAGCAGCATCCTCAATAATAACATCCTCGACAGAAGCGTCCGCAATCTGCTTTCCTTTATCCGGAGGGCCATCATCACTTGAATATCCAGAACTTTCCTCATCCTCGCCCTCATCTTCCTCCTCATCCTCTAACTTACCAGAACCTCCGGACTCCTCCCCAGAAGGGATCTCAATATGTGATGGAGGAGGGGCAGTATCAGTCACCAGTGCGGAGAAATAAAGACCTAAGTCCGGAGGTGTTATGCCTATAGCCTGGTCACCATCTGTGGGAAGGAGGGATGACAGATCGAACTCCAAGTTCTGCATCTTTTGGAGCTCGATCTTCATAGAAGCAACCTCCTCCTTGAGTCCAAGCAATCCACTAACTTCCCCCCGCTCTATCTTTTCCACCCTCAACTCAAGTTGCTGCAACCGATCCTCATACTTTAACTGTTCCTGTTGAAGGTCTGTCAGTAAGGCTTGCATCGAAGTCAGGGCTTGTTTTATGAGATTTGGTAAGGTCTTCAAAAGCTGGTCTACCTTGGCATTGGCATGCTGAGCCAATAGACCAAGCTTTGAGACAGTAGGAATGGCTGTAGTAGGTTGGACAGTGGTGGATTTAGAAGCAGGCTCGGAAGTGGAAGATGCTGCCACAGTAACTTGAGGGGTTACAGTGGGCTGGGAATCTGAAGGCTCTTCAGTAGTCTGCTCCTGAACTGGAACCACGGGTGGGATAACAGCATCACTAAGTCTGGTGATATCAATGACCTGTGTTTCCTTTCCGTTCTTGCCTTTGTGCTCATCTACAGGAACTTGCACGGCTTTACATAGGGTTGTGATTAAAGAAGGGAACGGGAGTGAAGTAGCAGACTATGTTGCCCGAATCCCTATCTCTTGGAATATCACAGCTCCAACATCTATCTTGATACCACTCATGATGCAGGCAATGAGAAGGGCCTTCTCAATAGCTATTTCAGTCTCGTTTCGAGTCGGTATCAATCTAGAGGTGAGAAAAATGAGCCAGAAACGACCCTCTCTTGAAAAACTCTCTTTGTAGATCTTTTGCCCGGGGTTGATCCAAGCAGGAGTTCCCTTTGCTATTACGGATGCAATCCACCCTCGCTCACTTTCCCTGTTCCTAAATTTTGCATCATACTCAGCTGTGCCTGCACTCCAATCTGGGACGTATAATTTATTGATGGCCTTGATGGTGCTGAAGACAGTTTTCCCCCGAACAAGCACTTCATCAGTGAAAACTCTGTTGCGTTTATGGTGCTTGGTCCTGGAGGCCCCATATGACGCGTAAAACTCTCGAACAAGGGATTCATTAAACTCAGCAGGTGGCTTAGTGAAGGACTCCCATCTTCTCCTCTTTATGTTCTCCAATATATGGGGATACTTTTCTTTCAACCCATTCAGGCTCAATTGCTTCTCGGGCAGGAGTTTTCGCTTGACGAGCCCTTCTCTATACTTTTACCTGGATCCCTCTACCCCCCAGCGGAGCTGGTAGTCATCTCCCTGTTTCGTTCTTGCCTCAGCCACTAAGTCAACCTCAGGCAAGAGCACCGCCTCATCAGACTGGGCGGGGCGTGGCTCATCAGACTCCGTCCTTGATCACTTTCTGGAGGATGCCCTTTTTGTGGCTGAGGAAGCATGTTTTTGTTTGGGAGCCATATCTGCGCAAAGGTGAGATGTGAGTGACAAAATAAGCACAATGAGAGAAAACACAGAAGAATTAAAAGGAAAACTCAAAATGCGGCCTGATCTGCGGTCGCAAAACCACAATGCGGACCGCAGAATTGTCGCAGATTTTCTAGTCGTAAATGAGTCACAGTCTGCGATCAAGTATGCGATCGCAAAACCACAATGGAGACCGCATAACCATCGCAAAGTGGACTTGCCCAGAACATATATCACAAAATGCGATCGCATATCTCACCGCAAAGTAGAGAATGCGATCGCAGAACAACCGCAAAATATCATGTTCAAAACTGGGAGGTCTGTGTATCTATGCGGTAGATTTGTGGTCCGCATTTCAATTATGCGACCGCATACTCACCGCATTTCACCATCTACATCAGAAGACCTAGGGTTTGATTTGCGGCCAAAATGCGGACCGCATTTCCACTATGCAGGTCGCATATGCCTTCATCTACACGGTTCAACCAAGCCTTCAACAATGGCGGACCCATTTTCATTTTTTTTATGTTTCTACCCATTTCCCTAAATCATTTTCAACCCAGAATCAATTAACTATGGATAAATACTTACACATAGCATCATATAACATATTTTTGCAACAGGGATGAATGAAAATCACCAACTACACAGTGGTTCTTAAGCAAGACGAGGGAGGAACGGGTACATACCAGCAAGTTTTTATGAGTGGAACAAGGTAAATCCTTTGGTCTTGAACGAGTTGAGCTTGAACGGTTCGATGTCTGTTCGTGTTCTTCCCCACTTTGTTTTTTTTTCTTTGTTTTGCTTTTTCTTTTCTTTTTCGTTTTGTTTTCTGTGTTCCTTTTTGTTATTTTTTTGACTTGTTTTGTTTTAAGCGAGTGAGGGATGAGAGAAATGCGGTTACTTACCTTGCCAACTCTGCGGTAGGTAGGGCACCGCATAACACACAATGCGACCGCATATGTGTTATGCGGTGGGGTTGGATGACCTGCTGAAGGGTGACAAATGCGGTGCACAATGCGGTCGCATAAGTGAAATGTGGTCCGCAGAGTGCACCAACTCATCGCATTTTCACCCCCAATTTTAACCAAATCTTCTGCTTGTGTCTGCGATCAAAATGCGGTTTGCAATGTATCCCTACCAAGTGTTGTGATCTTTTGAACCCCCTGCACTCTAACACACACTTTAAATTGTTCAAATAAATCTATCTATCAAAACTAAAAATTCAAAGAACAAAAGAGTGTTACCACACATGGGTTGCCTCCCATGAAGCGCTTGATTTAACGTCGCGGCACACGAAGTTGATGTTCCTTTTGAATCAGTCAGTGGTCAGACACGGACCATCTTTTAGAGCCAATTGCTCCACTATATGTTTCTCCCCATCTGTACCCAAATAATGCTTGATGCGTTGGCCATTTACCTTGAATGTCCGGGACCCATCTTTCGATGCCAGTTCCACCGCTCCATAAGGAGAGACGTTGATCACTTTGAATGGCCCGGACCATTTGGATTTGAGCTTGCCCGGAAATAGTTTTAGCCTTGAGTTAAAGTGCAAGACTAAGTCACCCGATTTGAACTATCTTTTCAGGATTTTCTTGTCATGGGCAAACTTCATCCGTTTTCTTTGTACACAACTGCACTCTCATAAGCATGGAACCGGAATTCCTCCATTTCATTGAGTTGTGTTAACCTCAAATTTGCAGCTTCCGCCCAGTCTAAGTTCAGCCTTTTCAACGCCCACATAGCTTTGTGTTCAAATTCCACGGGTAGATGACATGCTTTACCAAAGACTAGCCAATAAGGAGAAGTACCAATAGGAGTTTTGTATGCCGTGCGGTATGCCCACAATGCATCATCTAGCTTCCTTGACCAGTTGGTCCTATTTGGTTTAACAGTTTTTGCTAGAATGCTCTTGATCTCCCGGTTGGAAACCTCAACTTGACCACTTGACTGTGGATGATACGGTGTGGTCACCTTGTGCTTGACGCCATACTTCTCAAGTAGCCCCGAGAAAGCCTTGTTACAGAAATGTGATCCACCGTCACTAAGAATGGCTCTAGGAGTGCCAAACCGAGTTAATATGTTTTTTTTCAAGAAGGCGGTCACACTCCTTGCCTCATTGTTTGGTAAGGCAACTGCTTCAAGCCATTTGGACACGTAGTCCACAGCTACCAAGATATATTTCATCCCGCAAGAACTGACAAAGGGACCCATGAAGTCGATTCCCCACACGTCGAAGATCTATATCTCCATCACAAAGTGCATTGGCATTTCATGCCTCTTGGAGATTGAACCTTGTCATTGACATTGGTCACAAGCCTTGACCATTTGATTTGCATCATGATAGATGGAAGGCCAATAATAACCACATTCAAGAACCTAAGCCGCAGTTCGATTTCCCCCATGATGTCCCCCAACCGGTGAGTCATGGCATGCCTTGAGAATTGGCATAACCTCTTCTTCTGGAACACACCTTCTGATAATATTGTCAGCACAAACACGGAACAAGAATGGTTCCTCCTAATAGTATTGCCGGCAGTCTCTCAAAAACTTCTTTCTTTGATAAGATTCCAATCCGTCCGGGATAAGATCACTAACCAAGTATTTAGCAATATCGGCATACCAAGGAGCAAAAGTGCTAGATAATGCGAATATGTGCTCATCCGGGAATGCATCATTGATTTCAAGCTCTTCATTTGGTCTCCCTGCCTCCTGAAGTCTTGACAAATAATCCGCCACTTGATTTTGAGTTCCCTTGCGATCCTTGACTTCAAAGTCAAATTCTTGCAACAACAAGACCCATCGAATCAACCGAGGCTTTGCATCCTTCTTTGCCATGAGATAGCGGAGAGCTGCATGATCTGTGTACACCACCACCTTGGATCCCAACAAATAGGCCCGGAACTTCTCAAAGGCATAAACAATGGCAAGAAGCTCTTGCTCGGTGACCGTGTAATTCATTTGTGCCCCATTGAGTGTTTTACTTGCATAGTAGACCGGATGAAGTACTTTTTGTGACGTTGGCCAAGCATCACTCCTATGGCCACGCCACTGACGTCACACATGAGCTCGAAAGGAAGAGACCAATCGGGTGTGACAATAATAGGTGCCTTGGTGAGCCTTAGCTTTAATTCCTCAAAGGCTTTGAGGCATTTCTCATCGAACACAAACTTGGCATCTTTTTCAAGGAGTTTGCTCATAGGATTAGCAATCTTGGAGAAGTCCATGATGAAGTAGCTATAAAACCCGGCATGACCCAAGAAACTCTGAACACCTTTGACGGAGGTAGGTGGAGGAAGTTTAGAAATGATCTCAATTTTAGCCCGGTCGACCTCAATGTCATTCTTTGAAATTTTGTACCCTAGCACAATGCCTTCGTTCACCATAAAGTGACACTTCTCCCAATTTAGCACAAGATTTGTCCTCACATCTCTTAAGCACTAGTCTAAGATTGTTAAGACAATGCTCAAAAGAATCACCAACTACCGAGAAATCGTCCATAAATACTTCAAGAAAGTCTTCTACCATGTCGGAGAAGATGGACATCATGCATCTTTGAAAAGTGGCCGGAGCATTGCACAAGCCAAATGGCATCAGACTAAAGGCAAAAGTACCATACGGGCAAGTGAAAGTAGTTTTCTCTTGATCTTCCAAAGCGATGTTGATTTGATTGTAGCCGGAATACCCATCGAGGAAGCAATAGAATGACCTCCCCGCTAGCCGATCAAGCATTTGATCAATAAAAGGCATAGGGAAGTGGTCTTTGCCTGTAGCACTGTTAAGCTTCCTATAGTCCATAAACACCCGCCATCCAGTCACCGTTCTCATTGGGATGAGCTCATTCTTTTCATTTTCGATCACGGTCATGCCTCCTTTTTTCTGTACGCATTGCACCGGGCTCACCCAAGAACTGTCAGCAATGGGGTAGACTACCCCAGCATCTAACCACTTGATAATCTCTTTCTTGACTACCTCTTGCATTGGTGGGTTCAACCGACATTGATGTTCCACACTTGGTTTCGTCTCGCTTTCCAATTGGATTTTATGTTCACAAATTCCCGCGGGGATCCCGGGGATGGCCGCAATTGTCCATCCAATGGCTTGCCTATGCACTTTCAAGACATCCAATAATTGGTTTACCTGCACATCATTTAACAAAGACAAAACAATTACGGGTAAAGTATCATTAGGGCCAAGAAATTTATACCTTAAGTGCGGAGGAAGTGGCTTGAGCTCTAATTGTGGTGGCTCAATGATTGATGGCTTTGCGGGAGGTGTGGCCCTATTCTCCAGGTCAAGAGAAAGCTTTGGCGGAGTATCGACATAGGATCCAAGACCCTCCAATGCATTTACCGACTCCATGTACCCATCCATGTCTTCACCATCAAAATTTACCAAGATGGCCGCCAATGCCTCACCAAGGCATTGTTCTTCCATTTTCAATTCGATGGTATCTTCCACCTCATCAACCACATCTATCACTGGAATGCTCTCATACTCATGGCGTAACTTCATACCCTTGCTCGCTTGAAATGTGACTTCTTCATCATTTACCCGAAATTTAATTTCGTTCCGCTCCGAATCCATGAGTGCTCTTCCCGTGGCTAGGAATGGTCTCCCCAAAATGATAGGGATTTCTTTATCAACCGCACAATCAAGAATTATGAAGTCGGCGGGCAAATGGAATTCTCCAACTTTTACAATCACATCATCAACAATTCCTACCGGTCGCTTAATAGATCGGTCGAGCATTTGTAACCTCATGCTTGTTGGCCTTGGCATCCCTAATCCCGCTTGCTTGTAAATGGAAAGTGGCATCAAGTTGATACTAGCCCCATTGTCACAAAGGGCTCTAGCAATGTTACGCTCCCCGATAGTGCATGGAATAGTAAATGCTCCCGGGTCCTCTTTCTTTTGGACAGGGTTCGTGGCAATAATAGAGCTAACACGGTGAGTCATGCTTACCACCTCATTCTTTGTGATCCTCTTTTTGGTGATCAAATCCTTTAAATATTTGGCAAACCCCGGCATTTCTTGAAAAGCTTCCAAGAATGGAATGTTCACCGATAATTGCTTTAGAATGTCATAGAATTTTTCAAGCTTGCTATCATCAACCTTTCTCACGAGTCTTTGAGGAAAAGGAGGAGGAGGTGTAGGAATAGGAGGTGGAGCTTTTGATGTCTCCTTCACTTTTTCCTTTACCCCTTCTTGGTTCACTTCTTACACCTTCTCTTTTTCCGGCAACCTTTCAACTTCAACAACCCTTTGCTCTTCTGCTTCAACTTCTTGTTCGGCTTCTTCCCCTACAACCGCTTGCTCAATTTCTCCTTGTAGAACCTTCCCACTTCGAGTAGTTATTGCCATAACGTGAGAAGTTGAGCCACTTCCACCTTTTGGGTTTGCAATAGTATCACTAGGAAGTTGCTCTTTTTGCTTTGGGTTTTGCTCTCTAGAAAGGTCTCTCATTTGCATTTCTAACTTTTGAATAGATGCGGTGTGAGAGCCAACAACCTCGGTCATGTTTCTCATGGATGCGTCAGACTTTTCTTGGTTTTGCAATACTCTTTCAAGCATGCTTTCTAACATAGACTCACTTGACGACCCTTGATTTGCATATTGACTTTTTGGGGGAACATACGAGTTGGAGCTACGGTTTGCAAAGTTGTTGTTGTTGTTCCAATTTCCTTGATGCGAATTACCTTGGTCATTTCTCCATTGTTGGTTGCCTTGCCCTTGCGGGTTCGGCCTCCATTGGCTTTGTTGCCCTTGACCATGGTAGGGTTGCCTTTGATACCCTCCTTGAGGGTTGTTGATATAATTGTCTTCCTCAAAATTTTCATCTAATATGGGCTGGACATCTTCCACTGCATTCACTTTCTTTGTCTGATTCTCGATAAACATCTTCGTTATTCACATTTGTATCAAGCCCGACAATCACTTGATCTCTCTCTTGATTTTCCTTGATCATGTTGCTTAAGGAAGGAGAGCCATATGTAATTCCTCCGGTAGAATCCTCGGAATGCCATGCTTGGTTATGCTTTGCCATTTTGTCTAAGATTTGTGTCACTCTTGCAAATGATTTGTCCATAAAAGAACCGTCAGCTGCATTCTTGGCGATGGCTTGGTTCATAGGATCCAAACCCATATAAAATTTTCCCAATAGCATGGAATCCGGAAAACCATGGTTTGGAGACCTCACCAAGTATAATTTAAAGCGGTCCCATGCCTCATGCAACTGCTCTCCCTTTATTTGGTTGAAGAAGAAGATCTTATCCCGCAACTCAGACTTTTTACTTTGCGGGAACCACTTGGACAAAAATGCCCGGACAAGTTCGGGCCAAGAATGGATAGAGTTGGGTGGTAGATTCTGGAGCCATTTCCTTGCATCCCCAGCTAGAGAATACTTGAAGCATCTCAACCTCAGGGCATCATCAGAGACATTGTTTTGTTTGTGCATTGCACACACACCCAAGAAATTCCTAAGGTGTTGTGTTGGATCATCATCGGTGGAATTTCTGAAGAACCCCTCAGCTTTGAGCATAACGATTAAACCGTGTTCCACTTTGAACGTCGCGGCACCAACAACTTGAGGTACAATAGCATTTGTATCCTCAATGTACTCCTCAATGTCTGCGAAAGGATTCTTTCCCATTTCATCCTCTACATCATCACCATATTCTGACATGTTTTTCTATCAACACCAAGCAAAGCAAGCAAAGTGTGATGGAATAGAAATAGACGTTAAGTAAAGTACACACTAAATAGTAATTTCAAAACCGTATTCCCCGGCAACGGCGCAAAAATTTGATACGCTCAAATTACACTTTAATAAATAGTGTAAGGCGGTTAGTGTCAAATATAATAACCCAACAAGGTTGGGGTCGAATCCCACATGGAATAGGTGTGAAAAGGTTACTCTTATAGTGTGTTGCTCGACTAAAGTCGTATCTCTATTCGATTAAAAGTAACAAGAGAATGGTTTTATAGTAGCAAGAGTATGAATTGAGTTTGTTTTGAAGTAATAACTAATTGGAATAATTATAGAGTAATTAGTTGGATTAAAGAAACCAAGGTTGTGTCCCTTTTAATGAAGTGTAATGCTATCGGTGTTAATATGATATATTTCTAATGGAAGGTTCTTTTGATATGCAAATGATGCCTAAATGACTATCCAATATTTGCCAATAGTTGGGTAGTATTTCCTCTTTATGATTTTCCCAAATATAAAAGAGGTGCAATGAAGAACCATCAATATATGCCAAATAAAACTCACTTATTCCTAAGCGATTCTATTAAACAAGGTTTAAAGCCTCGAGTCTTTGTTATTTACTTCTACCAAATTCTAACCCACTTTCCCAAGCAAAGTAAGAATTAAATGGCACTTGTTAATGTTTGCAACCACCAACAATAAATGAAGAATGAGAAGTAAATAAATATCAACCAACCATTATATATATATTCAATGTTAAACACCCATTAACATAACACCCATTTAGGGTCCACAACCTTAGTATTTAAAGTTAGCCACTCATACTACAATACAAAATCCAAGGAGTATTTAATGTCATAAAAGCTTACAAAGTAGAGAATCTTCACCCAAAAGTTTCCAAAAGTAAGGAATATTAATGTCTTGGAATGTAGTTCAAAGACTAGACAAGATGAGCCCATAAAACCCTCATAAAACTATTTATAGTACATAGAAAATCGGGACAGAAAACGGACAAAAATACCCTTTCAGGTCAGAAATGCGACCGCATTCTCGTCGCAAAGCGTACATGTGGTCCGCATCTTAAACGTCCTCATCGCAGATTGAAACCCTATTTTCAGACTTCATCGCATTCCAATAATGCGATCCGCGTTGCAGAAATGCAATCGCATTTTGCATCGCATCTTCGTCCTTCAGCGACCTTCATGGTTGATTTGCAGTCCACTATGCGGCTCGCAGACAGGTTCTGCGGTCGCATAATGGACCACATTCTTGACTTGAGATTTACCCAGGGTTCTGCTTTTGTCTACGATTTGAATGTGCATTCTGCGGCTCGCAGAAGTGATCTGCGATCGCATATGTATCGCAGACTCGCAATTTTGCTGCATTTTGCTCTTTTCTTGTCTTCTTTGCTTCCATTGCCATGCTCTTGAGTCTTTAGTCCTTATGTACTGTAGAAACACCAAAACTACATAAGTAAGGGAGATAATTGCATTAAAACAAGCTAAAATCTAAGCAATTAGTATCGAAATGTGCCGAAATTCTCCGGCACATCAACGGTTCTCAACCCCTCTCAGTTATTTTTACTCATAACCTCTCTGGCACATCAACGGTTTTCAACCCCTCTAAGTGTCTCATTTCTTGCAAAATTCACTCTGAACTCCACCCAATCAACTCAACCACATAAATCACGGATAACGAAGCGTAAAGAAGCAAAAAATGGAGGAAACGGGACGGTAACCTATGAGACGACTGGACGGATCGTCACAACAGGAGAAGTATTTACGTGAAGCAATAAAACAAAAGGCATTCACTGCCATAACACAACTTCATAAAAATTAACACCGAAGATTATTTGTCATATAAGCTAAAGATGACTTTTTCTTGTCCTACAAATAATAACCATCCAATCCTAAAGAAAATGAAAAGTAATTTCACTACTTACATTTTAGGAATTACAAGCAACAACGAAACACAAAATATTTTCTATTACAAATGAAACAAACACGTAAATGGCTCAATAAAACAAAATATGTGTGTGCTTCATGACTTTCTGTATACTACTTAGCTTATATGTATCGCATGGCACTCATATCGAGTTCTCATATTAAAATCTGAAGCACTTGTAATCACAGACCAACTAATGTCAAAAAGTTATTTTGCAGAGCTTGGGAATAAGTTTTAATAGATTTTTTTTAAACATAGCAAATTAATGGAAAAAATATGTTTCTTGGCCAAATCAAGTACTTCACTGTTCATAAATGTATTTGCATATATTTATTTCTTTTTTTGTAAATTTTTTACTATTTTTAAAATAAAATAATAATAAAAAAATAGTAAAAGATGAAAGGATAAATAAAGTAGCTGAAAACTCCACTCTATGTATGGAACACACTAAATGAATCCATCTATATATATATATATATATATATATATATATATATATATATATATATTAATTAAAGAAAGTTACCATATATAATTGACATTATGGTTAAGCAAAGTGTGACGACCCGACCGGTCGTTTTGAGCCCTAGTGCGTCGTTCAGCAGTCTGAGGCCATGAGCAGCTTCATTTCAGGTGCTAAGACTCGTATGCATGGTCAGAATTGAATTTCGGGAAGTTCGGAGTTGAGTTGGGAAGAAAATTCTAATTTCGGAAGCTTAAAGTTGAAAGAATGAACTAGGATTGAATTTTTGAGTAAGCGACCTCGGAATCGGTATCGGAAGGTTCCAACAGGTTCGTATGATGATTTCGGACTTGGGCGTATGCTCAGATTGGGTTTTGGATAACCCGGGAGTGTTTTGGCGCCTATTGTGGAAGTTAGCATTTTTGAAGAAATTCCTTAAGTTTGGCTTGAAGTGCATTTCAGCGTTATCGATGTTCGTTTGCGATTCCGAGACTGGGAGTTGTTCCGTATGGTGATTCTGGAGTTGGGAGCGCGATCGGAAGTGAATTCGGAGGTCCGTAGGTCATTGTGAAGCCTTTTGGCTAAAGATAGAATTTTGATGGTTTTTGAGAAGTTTGACCGGGGGTGGACTTTTTAATATCGGGATCGGAATCCCATTCCGAAAGTTGGAGTAGGTCCGTAATGTCAAATATGACTTGTGTGCAAAATTTGAGGTCAATCGGACATGATTTGATAGGTCTAAACATCAGAAATAGAAGTTTGAAGTTTTAAAGTTCATAAAGCTTGAATCGGGGTGTAATTCATGATTTTAGCGTTGTTCGATGTGATGTGAGGCCTCGAGCAAGTCCGTAACGCATTTTGGGATTGGTTTGTAGGTTTGGTCCAGGTCTCGGGGGCCTCCGGTGGATTCCGGAT